GCTTATTAGTATGTCCTATGCAGTGTAACACGAGGACTGCAGCACTAACCAACAGCTCGGCTCAGAGGATTAGCACTTAAGCGCTGAAAGGAGCCTCAGAAGCCATCATGTCCGCCTCTGTCACTGCACAGATGGGGAAACTGAGGCCCCTAGGTGGAGCGCTCCGTCACAGTCATGTGGCTAGTTAGCAGCAGTCAGAACAAGAACACAGGTGTCTAGCTTCCAGAAAAATGCTTTGTCCAGATAGGTAGGTAGGGGGAGAGAGGGGAAGAGGGAGAGAGATAGGAAGAAAGAGAGAGAGAGAGAGAGAGAGAGTGTGTGTGTGTGTGTGTGTGTTTCTGTTCGTATGTGTTAGGAGGAGAGAGAGAAGAAGTGGGGATAATGCAGTCCTACATTTCAATGCCACTGTGTTCCAGAATTTCCAATGAAGTTGGATTGAGGAATTTCACTAGATCAGAATTCATAAGAGCGGTGTTAAGTATCCTTGTTGCTGAACTCTGACCCTGTTTTGCATTCCACTCAGCCTGTTTCAATACCAAACAGACCCCTTAGCATAGCATCTCCTGGCACTGAGCCATCCCCTGGCGCTGTGACCTTGAGCTGAAGGCTTGGGCTATAATGAAGCAAAACGTGCCTAGTGACTTTCTGCTTCTTCCAGAGATCACAGTATCACTGCAGACACCTGAACTTGCTTGTGTTCTCTTTCCTGGAAGATTAGAATCATGTCCTTTGCCCACCTGAGGACATTTTAGCAAAATTCACTAAGATAAGATCCATAGTTTTAGGTGAAAGACTGTGTAAGCACCTAGCATCATTACTTAGCATTATTAATATTGATAGTAATTCTGTGACACAATTATATTTGTTGTGTATGTGCTACCACCATTATATCATCATTTATAATTATAATAACTAGAGAAACTGAGGAATTATTTTATATTGCTTTGTCTTGTGGCCAGAGATTCTTGCCTCTTTCTGCAAACCAGGAAGGGGCATTCTTCTCATAATAGTAAGACATTCTAGAAGTAAGTCGAGGTGGCTGTCCAGGAAGGGGTGCAGCTCCCCACCGCCAGTCCTGTTTCCTGAACCCCACGAAAGGCGGTGGGAGCCTGTTCTCCAGAGAGCTCTCCGTGTGTCCTCCGCGCGTGGAACTTCTCGGGTTCGTGGAGCGTTGCTCACAAGCAAGCGGCCTAAAACCCGTCCCTTCACAGTGCAGTGAGATCCTTTGTTTTTTATCCGAGAGAGCCGGGCGCCTGTGCTATCCTGACCCAGTCTTTCCCAGCGGGAGATGTATCTCCCCTGAACCCCCACCCTCTCAGTCTGCACACCAGGCGCCGGCTGTCCTTGCTTCTCCCTCTCGGCTTCATTAGGGTTCGCTTTCGGTCATCTAGCTCTGGCCGGTGACGGGAAGACACCACTCCTAAGTGTTCAGAAGGAGACGAGGCTTCGGAATCCGTATTAGGTAGTTGAGGATCTTTGCTGTTGCTGGGAAATGTGTGAGAGAAAACGGAAGGGCAAGTGGAAGCCTGCTCGACGGGCTTCCCCTGAGGCTGATGGCCCGAAAGGATCCAGCCCTCTGGATACCTCCCGGATTCCTGTTTACAGAACCGCTTCAGTAGTGGTTTCAGCAGTCCGCGCCCACTCAGAATGTCCGAACAGCCACAGCCAGCGGGTCCTGAGGTCGCCCTTCCGGCCGGTGTCCGTGAGCCAGCCGTGTTCCAGCATCAGAAGTTTGCCCCGTTCACAAGGAATTTAAATTCATGACTGAAATGTTCAAGATTTTTCTCCCATAAAGCATTTCTAAATCTTTTACTTTCTTGGACCTAGATTCTAGTAAAAAAATGTCTTTTTATGCAACCTAGAATTTTCTTATTCTGTTATTTTAATTACTTCTAGTATTTTAAGTGGGTTTCAAATTCTCTGCCATCCAAAAATAAAACTAAGAATGACTTGTGTAAATCACAAAATATATTTGGGAGATTTTCTTCAATATTTTTGATATCTCACCCCCTTGAAAGAGTTCAGTTTTCTTAGATGAAGGCCAATTCTTATGAATTGAAGGCCAATTCATAAGAATAACCAAGGTAATTTTTAGTAGCATTTATACCACTGCTAAATCTTATCACCTCTATCTTTTATGTTTTCCCTATTTTTTCAATATTTTCTTTCTTCCTCCGTTTTATATTTGCTACCATTAATTGAGTATCTGTGATGTGCCAACCATATGCTGATCCTCACATCAGCCATGCAGATGCAGATCTGCTAAGCAGCTCACCCTGGGTCACACGGTGGACTGGAGAGCTAAGGGTGGCCAGCCGGTTCCCTTCAAGTCCATGAGTCCTCCCTCACGCTGTGGCTTGTCTCCCTTTTCTCTCCAACCACACACTCCCCTTTGCCGTTCTCTCTCTTTTTTATGTATTTGTAATAAAGTACATATTAAAAAATTATCATCTTAACTATTTTTTTTTTTTTATCCTCACCCGAGGACATTTTCCCATTTTTTTGTTCAGGTAGAGTGGGAGGGAGAGAGAGGAACAGAGAGAGAGAGAGAAACATCGACATGAAAGGGACACATCGAGTGGCTGCCACCCGCACGACCAACCAGGGCCGGGGACAAACTGCAACCGAGGTACATGCCCTTAGCGGGAACCGAACCCGGGTCTCTCAGGACCGCAGGCCGACGCTCTAACCGCTGAGCCAAACCGGCCAGGGCTCATCTTAACCATTTTTAATGTAGCTTTGTGGTAGTAAGTACACTCGTTGAATGCTGTTGTCACCGCCATCTACCCACATAACTCTTCCTCTTGCAGAACTGAAACTCTGTGCCCACTGAGCAACAGCTCACCATCATTCTACTTCTGTCTATGAATTTGACTCCTCCAGCTATGTCATGTGTGCGGGATATTACAGTATTTATCCCCTGTGACTAGTTTACTGCACTGAGCATAATATCCTAAAGAGTCACCCACATTGCAGACTTCTTTTTTAAGGCTGGGTGGTCTTCCACTGTGTGTATATATCACATTTTGTTCTTCCACTCCTCTGTCCTCGGACGCTTGGGCTGCTTTTACCTTTTGCTGCTGTGAGTGATGCGGCCGTGAACAAGGGTGTACGGCTTTCCCTTTTGAGTAAACTACTCCCGGCCCCTTCGCTTCTGCCAATATTGTATGCTTGTCAGGGACAGCCATTAATATTGCTCAGTCCCACCGGTGAAACCTAGAAAATGACCATCAAATGTATAAACCATGGATCATTTCACTTCTTTATTCTTGTCATTTTTTTTTTCTTTCCTTAGCTTTGCCTTTCTTTTCAAGTGTGTCATTGCATGGTAATGAATAAATAGTCTGTCGTTTATTTGAGTCTATATATTTCTCCTGAGTCTATTTGCAGGGTTGGGCAAAAGTAGATTTACAGTTGTGAGTATGCAAAACACAGTTTATTCTTGTATTTTAGTTAATTATCGTATTATTTTCCATATGAACAACTGTAAACCTACTTTTGCGCATCCCTGTATCTCTGTTCTTTGTTACACGTGATGGGACGCCAGTAGAGCTCTCTGAACCTCAGAGGAATTGCTGCAAAGAGCCGGGCAGCCTGTGTGTACTGAGTGCCAGGCAATAGGCTGGGTGTGGGCGCCGACAGGGTGTGTGTGGGAGGTGGGGGTGGGCGCCGACAGGGGGTAGCAGGAGTAGAGGTTTGGTTTCCAACTTCAAGGAACTTTTAACTTGCAAATGTCTGTTACTTTACTAGTTATTTTAAATTTGGAGATTTTCCTCTTCAATATGTCTGGGATGAACTTGCCTCCCCCCTTCTCCAGCACATTTGCAGTGACTGGAGACAGTTTTGTCACAGTTGCTGAGGGGGTGCTGTTAGCATCTAGTGGGTGGAGGCCAGGGATGCTCACAGCATAGGACAGCCCCCCAGAGCAAAGAATTACCTGGCCCCGAATGGCCATAGTGCCAAGGTTGAGAAACCCGCAATATGTGATCTTACTTAATTTAATATTGATTAATCAGCTAGTAATGAACATGAAGACACAAATCGTTTTCCTAAGGAAAACTTCTTATGATAATGTAGTAACTTGAAATCAAGCTAGCATTTTCCCTCCTATAAATTTCATTATTTGTGAATCCAGAATATAAAATTTTAACTTCTTGAGTGGAATTCTAGTATCTAAAGAAAATTTTCTAGTAAAATTTTTTATTTTAAAAACATAACTTAGCATTCACTATATTGTCGGTTAATACCTATCTGAGAAAGAAGAGAACATTAGCATGGTAACTTTCACTGGATTTGAAAGGCATTGTGTAAATGACCCACTGCATAGTCATCTCTTGACTGCTTTAGTTAGACTAACTCTATATTTAGATCTTAGCTCCAGTGCAGGTATCTCAGGAAGTAGTGCTCTCGGCTCTAAAGAATGTTTCAATGGGAAATATTCCATGGATGACCCAGTTGCTTCACAGATGACATTAGAAATATATCTCATCTGCCCTTCCACAAAATGAAGCTTTAACAAATGGAATGGGTTGAAAAGAGAATCATTTGGGGGTACACAGACACCCTGCTAGGTGTCCTATGGACATAGAGAAGCGAGAGGGCCAGTCACTGTGTGTAGGTCTAAACTCATCTCTGAACCACCAGGGAGGATTCATGGCGTCAGGGACCAGGACGTCGGCCTGGGCATGGGTCACCGGGGCATGCATTTGAACACTTGCCTGACTAAACCAGCCTTGCCTGGGTTTCTAACAAGAATAAGTATGTCCTTATCACCAGTCTCCTGCTCTTTGTACACCTTCAATGCTAAGTGTTTAAAACTGATGTTCGTGGTAAGAATCCTGAAATTCTTTCTTAACCACCAAGGAAAGACTAAACCCTGGCTTGGTAGTTCGGTCACCTGGTCACATTGCACAGGTTTTCATGGCCGTGCCTTCCTGCTCGTGGACATGCTCTGATCCTCGAGCATCGGAATCGCAAGCATCCATGTTTTTCTGTTCCAGGACCTGGGAAGAAGGCAAGGTGCTCATCTTTGACGACTCCTTTGAGCACGAGGTGTGGCAGGACGCCGCGTCTTTCCGGCTGATATTCATCGTGGACGTGTGGCACCCGGAGCTGACACCCCAGCAGAGACGCAGCCTGCCTGCAATTTAGCATGTCGCGCGGGCTCGGGACACACTGGAGAGCGGCTGCCTTTCTGCCTCTATCTCCTCGGCTGTGGGGATAGACGTTCAAACACCAATGCCCTTAATTTCCTTGATTTGCAGCCTGAAAATTTCTAAACCTCCTCCCAGGGTTAGAAGACACTAAAGGGAACATTTGCCTCGCTGCAGTGCACTTAGAAAATACCCTGCTGTATTTCATCCCAGGACAGCACCAATCTGGTGCCTGTATTTCAGGTAAACACATGAGAGCTTCTACCTTACTAGCCAAAGATATTTTTTTTCCATTTAGAATAGGCTAGATCAGTGTACAGCGAGAATACATGTAGAAACTGTGAATGGATTGCTTTAGCTTGTAATTTTTCTATGCAACTATATTTTTGTAGGGTAGCTACAGGATTTTTGTCATCACATACCACCACTTTTTTGTTGATTTTAATGACAAGCTGTGTAAATGCTTTACTTCAAGCTGCTTAATGATAACTTTCCTGGTGAACTCAGACTTCCCTCTTTTAATTATTTTTAGGCAAAGACACTCATGAAAGAAAACATTTTATTTTCCTAAAACACAGGAGATTATGCCAATGTGTATGAATTGTACAGCTCCCTGCCCACTAAGTCTACTTACTTGTTTCTCTTCATCGAGAGCCAGTATGTTCATTTCTGTCCTCACCATGTGAATGGTGGAGAGACTGTCAAATGGCATTTCTTTCTAAGAGAAAGCATTTATACTAAAAAGGGACATGGAATCATTTTGTATTGAGTTATAAAAGTGCCACATGTAAAAATTTTTAATGCCAAGTGTTAGAGCTTGGGGGAAAAAGGTAACTTTTTCCAACTGAAAGTTTTCTCTCGGGGTCGGTAGATAGGTGGCCACCAGGACTCCAGCCCCCGGCCTCCTTGCTGCCCGTGAGGCTGGAATCCAGGGTGTCACTGCCTATTGCAGACCTGTGGGGATGGCACCGTCCTCGAGAGGATTCCCAAACAATTTTGCGAAAATACAAAAGGTAGCTGAGTGCAGAGCGGTAATGCCGGGATCTTTGTCCTGGGTGTAGGATGTCGAGATCGCTTTCCTCTTTGAAAGAGTTTGGAAGACTCTTCCAGCTCCCTGGCTTGAGACTTCTGCCATTTAGACATCACTTTGAAATAGCAATTATTATCCGTGGTTTAGTTTTTAAATTACCCACAGCATAGCAATAACTGTTGAAAAATGGTCTTGCCTACTCATCCAAAGATGACCAAGACATTAATTTGGTAGATCACTAATGCATTAAATTTTGTTTTTAAAATGAAAGCTAACTAGAAATGTTAGCTGTAAGAGTGTAACAATGTTAATGCACTGAATTTTAAGCCAATATGAACAAAAATGCTGGCAAAAGGACACAGAGGTTAGCAAATACCACTTGTAAATAGGTAGAGAAACACTTATGCTTTTTTTTCCATCCAAGGACAAAGGAGGATTTTTTTTTTTTTTAATCTCAGTTAAAAAACAGTTCTTTAAAATTGAAATTAACCTTTTTTGCTTGTCTTTAAGCACATTAGCTTCCAGGACAAGAGTTTGCAAAATATATTTTGTGTTTCCTTCTTTTTTGCCAATGTTCAAAAACTCACTAAAATGGATGAAGAAGTATGTGAGGAAAAATACTAAAATTAATTACCAAAGTCCAGAAGAAAAAACAAACTCTTGAAAAATTAAAGGGTGTTTGTGTCCTTCCATATTTATTGAACAGAGGAAATGACTAACAAAGGACAATACAATCCAGTGTGGTAACATTCATGTCATTTGCAGAATTGGGTTCTTGAATGTATGTTGCACACGCACAAAGACATTCAAAGTACTAGTGTCATTGTTGAACCATCATCTTACATTCATGTAATGAAATCTTGGAATGGAGTAAAAACTAGCTCTTAACTTAGTAATTATAACATGGTATTTAAAATCAGGTCACTACAGGATTCTAAATATTGCCAACTGAAAAGCCAGAAGTGTTATTACTGTTGCAAAGGGTTGGCAATAATTGACTCCAATAGCATTTTAAGTACTTGGTTTTCACAACTACCTTATAAACCCAAGTAATAAAATGGATTTTCTAATTCACTTTAATTCTTCATCTTTCTTCCCTATGTCATGGTGTATAATAAAAGTGTTTCAGTCACTGCATTGGTAGAATTATTTCAATATTATTTTGATATTTGAAATGTATACACAAAATGAATTGGTTTTATTAATATTGTGATGCAATGGGCTGAGAAATAGTTTTAATTCTATTTCAATTTTATTGCAAGGGTGGAATACAAAAATTACTTTTGTTAATTATTATGTACCGATAGAAAAAAAATTATTAATAATAATAGCCATTAAGGGTGATTAATGGCCAATTGAATCACCTCTTTCCTTTTAATTTTTTAGCTAACAAATTAACCCTCCCAAGTCCTTAAAATGTAAAATCATATTTTACTACCCATTATCAACTAAAATATTTTTATTTGACATTAAACACCCACTGGTCATACTAATGAATGGCCATGTCATGCAGAAGGCTGAGAGAATAAGAGATATTTAAAAACATATAGCAGGTTTGGGGAAACATGGCACAAGTAAGGATATCATGTCTTATGATATCTTTAATTTTATCTAATTTCCTCTGAATGGATAGTTGGGGCTCCATTTCTAAGGAGAATAGACAAAAAAATACAGTGATCTTTGGCATTTCATCCTGCATTCCTAGTATTCTCTTATTTTCAGTAAGGGTCTTCCTCCAAGATTGAATACTTACCCACTCAGCAACAGCCAGGCCCTGTCTCTGCACCTCTGACCGGTTGCAGGGAGGTTGTAGGGAGGAGCATTAACTGCTTTAGTGGTACTTGTCTTTGCTGTAGTGACCTAAGTGAGGCAACTTGAACGGATTTATTAATCACTGACATGTGTTTCCAATGGGACCCCACCCCACCCCCATCTGCAGACACGCATTGCCTGTGGAAGTTACATTGCGAAGATGAAATAATCATATTTCACATTGTGTGCCTTCTTTTAAAGTCAGCTCATGATAATCCGCTGGTAGCCTGACAAAAGATGTGATGTCAAATCATTTTTGCAGGATATCAAAAATAAGCAAACTGAAAATAGCCAGACCTCAAACATGCTCTTAGGCTGAACAACTTGATGCTGGTGATGAGGTCAAAGAAAATAATTCAATAAGGATGGAAATTAGTGGAGATACCATTGTCTCGGGGCTCTGCACTACATTAAACTTGACAATTGTGTCTGCACAATTTAATTCTGATGTATCTACTTAGAAATGCACTCACTCTTAAATTGCAAAAACTGGAGAAGGTCTCCATGCGATGCCTCAGAAAAATCCTTGTTCTAATGCAGTGTGTGCATCAAATTTAGTTTTTCTCTTTTCAATTCATTGAATACCAGAAATGTAGGGGAGGGGAATCTTGTTTACATAACTATCTTGCTTCATCTTCCATCCAGTACCCTCATTGAAAAAAAAAAAAGCATCTCTCAAGTCTTTGTTCAACTTTGGTTGCTCCGACCAATGGCTGGTGACAATCATTACTGGGTGGCAGGAGTAGAGAGCCTTGTGTCAAGCCGAACGCACGTGTCTGTGTGGGTCAGTTGCACACGTGCCTCCTGGGTGGCTGATACCACCAGTGGCTGGCGATATACGGGAACATGGAGTGACTTGGGGTTCAGTCCAGAGCCAGGAGTGGCTGAGTGTTCTCATTCTCTCCCTTCTCCTCATGTTTCAGGGTCCCCGCTTCTACCACAGACTGAGATCTAATAATAGGGGAAGGAAGGAAAAAAGATATGATTACAAACAATTCCTAATGGCAACAATTTTGAAACCTTGGAGGGTGCTCAGACTTTATGTTCCCCTCATTAATCAAGACATTCAAAATACTATTTAACCCCCCCCCCTTTTGTAGCTCTGTTTTCCTTGCTTTTGAGTCTTATATACCACATTTTTATGGGGAGAAGCATCTTGGAATCCTCTTTGCAAAAAACTCACCTACTGGTAAAAGGAACACGTGTTCTAGCCTGAAGTCTGCCCTGGCATCCAAACATTCTATGGATCTTGAGATGTATAAAGTCAAATGAATATTGTTGGATTTTAACTGTTCCAAAATACTTTTAGAGCCTTTGTTTCTCAAAGTCATAGGAAACTGTCATGCATGACGTTAAGACCATGAGCTTTGGAATCAGATGGTAAATACAGACTCTACCCCTTACTGGCTGAGGAGTTTTAAAACTCTGGACCTTTATTCTCTCACTTGTAAAATAGAATTGTTACCTGCCTCCCACAGTTGTTGATAAGGACTCTACTAATATACAAAAAGCGTTGACATATAATTGTCATTAAAATGTATAGAGCACACTATTATTGCCATTATTGCAATCACAGTAGTGATCTTTAGTTTCTGTTGTGTATATTCATATTGGAGCAATAACCATTTCTATCCTGAGTTTATAATATAGACAGAAATTGAAATTATTTTCCAGCTTATAGAGAGAAAGTTATAAGAGCTATGCACATAGTAGACATTCAATAAATTTTCAAATACTAAAAAGAAAATTGTTCAACACATTAAGAAAATGGCTGAGCCCGGGCTGGGTGGCTCTGTTGATAGAGCATCATCCCATATACCAAAAAGGTTCTGGGTTTGATTTCTGGTCAGGGCATATACCTGGGTTGTGAGTTTGTTTCCTGGTTGGGGTGAGTATGGGAAGCAACCAACAGAAGTTTCTCTCACATCAATGTTTCTCTTTCTCTCCCCCTCTCTCTAAAATCAATAAACATATCCTTGGGTGAGAATTAAAAGAAAAAAAAATAGTTGAACTAGGCTGTTCAAACAAGCAAGCAAATTTACAAATATGTGCAGTAATAGTTAGCTCAGTAGGCCAGAGCTGCCCAAACCCTTCATATTCCAAAGGTTTTAGGATGGCCTCTTGCTTTTCTCCTCTAAAACCCTTGGGGTATCCTGCCTGATAAAGTGTCTGTATACCTGAGACTTCGGGCCATGCTTTATGGTATGCTGACAGTGTGATTTATACTGAATGTTCTGGTATGCCTGGGCTTTGGATCACACTGCATCAGTCTGACCTCTTGTGGGGACGGGGAGGAGGAGGAGCTGAAAACCAAGTCATTAAGGTCAGTCACACACACTGTATGCCTATGTAACTGATCTCCCACCCCCAAAGCCCTGGGCACCAAGGCATGGGTGTTTCCCTGGCTGGTGGCCCTTTGTACATGTCACACATCATTGATGAGAGAATGAAGCTGTTTGCGTGACTCCACTGGAAGCTTAGAAATGGTCCAGAGCATCTGGACTCCACCCAATGCACCTTTTTCCTTCGCTGATTTTGCTGTAACAAAGCATAACTGTGAGCATAACAACTTTTCGGGGTCCTGTGTGTCCTGGCAAATTACCAAACCTGAGAGTGGTCTTAAGGACACCAAACACAAGCTATAAAAACACTAATATTTGTTATGTATGCACCCGGCATTGTTGTAAGTTCTTTACATGTATTAACTTGTTTTCACGACCCTAAGGAGTGGTGCTATTGTCTCCATTTCATAGATGGGGGGAAAACTAAGGAACAACAACAAAAATCAATACAAATAAAAGCAATAAACATAGAGAGTGGAGAACAGGACAGGTTTATCACCATCACACTACTATAAAAGTAATTTTCTGGCTAAGATTCTTATCTTTACTCAGGATATGTATGTGCTGTCGAAAGCATAAAATAAATCAAAAAACAAATATGTTCAATTGTTTCAAAACAATTGGTTTCTACTCTAAATATCAATCCAGTCAAACAGTCTAACTTTACGTACAAAGCCTAACCTTCAAAAAGGAAATAGATTCATGTTTTCCTGGGACAGGGCAAAGGAAGCCTCAGGTAGCTCAGCTTTTTTACACATTTTCTGTGCATTTCTCTCTTTGCTTTAGTGAAAGCCTGATGTGTGTGGGAATTGGGGAGGTAGTTAATAGATTTAATAGTTAATAGAAAGAGCAGAAAAGCCCCAAATCCAGAAGATATTAAAACATACCCAAACAAGGAGAAAGAAACCCAGAGAAGCACAACTGCCTACTCAGGGCAACTCCTTCCAGCACCACGGACAGCTGCCTACTGCTGGCCCGTAGGCCCTGGTGAAATGGAGGCTGTGGATGGCCATTCCCCTTTAGAGACATCATGCTGCTTTTCTCTGCTTTCATGCCAGGTGGCTTTATTTTACAACACAGCAAGTGAGTCACAGCCACAGAGTTCAAAAGGATCTGTATCTCGAGTAACTCAGTAGAAACTATTTACTAAGGGGCCATGCAACCCCTCGACTATATCCAACTTGAGAAACCCACACATCCTGCCCCTACAGGGGCAACTCTGCTAGAAAGTTCTTCCTTACACTGAACTAAAACCTGTCTTTTTGCAACTTTAATGTACTGTTTCTGGTTCCATCTGCTGGAGCCACCAGAGTACATGTAATCCATCAGGTCCGCATACAGCCCTATACAGATTTATCTAGTGCCCTCCAGCCCTCTCGTCGCCTTCACCAAAACTAACTAGATCCTCTTCTACCAAAAGTTAATTTTTTAAAAGATTTTAAAATGGATTTTTAGAGTGAGAAGAAGGGAGAGGAAAGTAGGGGGGGAGAGAAAGAGAGCAGAACATTGATTGGCTGTGAGTCTATGACCCAGGCATGTGCCCTAACTGGGACTTGAACCAGTAACAATCGCTTGGTGCACAGGACGATGTCTAACCAACTAAGCCACACCAGCCAGGGCTCTTATGCCAAGGTTTCTAAAACTCACCACTCTGGCAATTTCCTACATCTCTGTGTCAACTGGCTGCCCAGAGAGTATTATCTCAAAATAGAGTAAAATTATTGCTTCCTTCTTTTTTGTATGCTTCTGTTGAAACATAGAAAGTGCACCTAGAATTGCATGAGCCTTTCTGACACATAACATAGCCGAGGGAAATTTAGCTATATTTGCACATTTCTCTCCCATCTTGAAGGTGCTTGGTTGAGCATTAAATTTCATCTTTCAAATTTTGGTTCATATTTCCACCCTATCTCCATCCTTTTGAATCTTGAAATTTGTTCCTGTCCAAATTATTGTCTGTGATTTCAATGAGTATTGGATTTGCTTCCAAACTTTCCCTACCCTTATTTGGGGAGCCACTATGAAAACAAACAAACAAAAACACCTTGGCAAATTCTCAACTATTGACTTCAAATCCATTTATTTACATTCACTCATGATAAGAAATGTTTGTGAATGTTTCCTGCTATATACCAGGGCTGGGAGAAAATGTTGAGAAACATATTCTTTTGTTGAAATATTGCTTCAGTTACCCAGCCACAGACCCACGAACAGGTGTAGGATTATTGTGATAGTACCCAGAGGAGAGGGTTTTGCGGAGAGGGAGTCATTGGCCCTAGAAGGAAAGGAAGGAAGCATAAAGTTATCATTCGCACAATCACATCATTCACAGACCTTGTTCAGGTGACTCTCCCCTCCACCTCCACCTGAGGTCAAGTTGGATCTATGTGACTTCTTTCAGTACCTATACTGACAGCAGGCACAGAATGCAGGCTCTCTTAGCCAATAGCTATGTGCTGGTTGAGTAGCGGGTAACAACTGAACAATTCTGAGGAACTGAGCATGTGGAACCAAACATAGCTTTGTCGTCTGCCTTTTCCCTGATGAAGAAGATGACCATGGCTCCACGTTCAGTGGGACATAATTCCATTAACCTGATCACACAATGAACATTGGATATAAGTAATACTATATTATGAAATATTTGAAATCCATTGGAAAAATATAAAGTGAATATTGCTTTAAAAAAATCTAGTACAAGTAAATGAAGCCAAGAGAAGCACTCTTCTTAAATCTTGCCAAAGTGATCAGTGGGAAGACCGATCAACTGCTCACTGATAAAAACGTCTCCACCACTTGTAAACAGAGCGCTCAGGAACTGTGCAGTTAGTGTACTGACCGTGAGGAGACACCCGCCTGGCGACTCCCTTGTCCAGGTCACTCTTGGTGGTAATCTCCCTATTCAGGGACTTTGCCTTATCCCAAGAAGCTTAACACTTCTACTAAAATAAACATTTCGACTTTTCCCTGAGGTCCCCTTTCCAGCACTGAGAGCCAGCTGAACCCCAAGGGCAGGAGGGGAGCGCCTTGAGCTGCTTCAGCCATCACTATCTCAGTGGTGCGCAGACTGCTCTCACAAAGCTTCCTTCTAGCCCTGACAGCCACATTTGTTTTCCTACTACATTCGGTCTCCCTTTCTCCTCCCTCCCTTCTCTGTCTCTTCCCTCCTCCTCCCACATTCCTCCCTCCCCCCCTGCTTTTTTCTCTCCCTTTCTACCTTCTTCCTTCCCCCTTTCCTCTCCCCAAATCTGAACTTTCCCCATTTCATATCACCAAAGACCTAGAGTCATGCTTTAATTTTTACTGACTGCAAAGGCAAGTAAATTCCAGAGAACAAGATGAAAGAGGCAAACATTCCCCATGAGTGGGTCTATTCTGCATACACCTACAACTGGAGTTCTGCTCTCAGTCAGAAGTTTATTTTCAAAACTTTATTTAGCTACCATATCTTAACAGCTGTCACCACATATTCTTCTTACTCATGAATTGCCATTGCCTGACCTGAGCTGATATGGACCCCAAATCAGGGCACAGGAACTCTGCCCTTCAACCCCAGCATTTTGCAAGAGCGATCAAAGAAAGGCCAGAGCTGTAAGGAGCTCAGAGAGA